ATTTATAGTAGGAATTCTCATCTTTTTTTAAAAATTCGCGCTTTTCGAAATTTTTTCATTTTTCCTTACCTCCTCCTTCCCACATTAAGAGAAAAAAAAAAAAAAAAAAAAAAAAAAAAAAAAAGAGGCTTCTTGGTGATTCTTAGAAAGGTTATATCCTTTTTGTAGAATATTATGAAAGGAAATTTGCAAAATCCCGAGCAAATGGACGAGAATTCAATAATACACCAAGAAACGCAAATTGTTGATACCGCCGTATCAACTAATGAACTTTCGACTTCAAACATAGAGTCAAATAACGATTCAACACATTTCCATTTTGTTAACGAAAGGAGGCACCACAACTTTCCGAACTGTAGGTATCCATTACCTAACGATATCGCCGAAATGAATCGCTTACGATTGGAACATGAAATGTTTCGACTTATATGGCATGGGAACTATTCCGCACCTATTGCTGACTTACTAAAGAATAACGATTCTAAAGTACTCGACATTGGGTAAACCATATATACATACATCTTGCTAAATCTACTTTTTTTTTTTTATTTATTTGACAAATTAATTTAAGTTTGATGATTTTACAAGGTGCGGGACAGGAATATGGATCGAAGAGATGGCTGTTGAATTCCCTTCAACGCATTTCACGGGCATAGATATTTCGCCCATATTCCCTCAGAGAATTTCAGAAAATTGCCATTTTCAACTGTGTAATATAATTGAAGGTCTACCCTTCAAAGATAATTCGTTTGACTATGTTCATTGTCGAAATGGACTTATGGCTTTTAGTACAGAAGAGTGGATTCAAAAGGTCATTCCGGAGATGGTCAGAGTCACTAAACCGTCAGGATTTATTGAACATTGTGAGGTCGATGGTCTTCATGTAAACGAAGGGCCCATTATGAAACAAATCACGAATGCCAGTTAGTAAATTGACTCATTTATTTAACGATTTAAGGATATATGTTTATATTTTAAAAACTCAATTCCTTATATTTCTTGATTTATTTATTAGCTATGGAATTTCATGAATCCTGCGATATTGATGGCATGATTGGTGAGAAATTAGAGGAAATCCTAAAAGATAATGGGAGTTTACATAATGTACATCATCATCCAAAATATAGTCCCCTTGGTAGCTGGGGTGAACATGGTAGAATGGTAATTAATCAGATTTGCAAAAAAAAAAAAAAACCCCCCTCATTAAATCAATAAAGATTAATAACTTAAAACACTTACGTTTAGGCCATAGATAACTTTTCTCAGGTATCTTTAGCCCTTAGGGTTCAATTATCTGAAATTATGGGCATCTCGCCTACGGAATTAGACGACATCGTTAGAAGGAGCGTTATAGAAGCCGAGTCCAAACGAACGTATTTTAAAACCCATCGACTATATGCACAAAAACTTTCTTCGAGAAAATGATACGAAATCGTATCATATGATACCTCCTTTTCGTGTTTTTGTATACATTTCGTGTTCAATCCTTTTAAACGAAAAATTTTAGTCATGCAATTTTCTCAATTAAGGAATCCTTTAAGATCAAACTAAGATTATACAAACACAATTTATACTGAAAGTTAGTATTTTTATGCCTCAAATTTCTTCGATTCGTGACTGAAAGGGAGAAAACAAAGTTCCAATTTTTATATATATTTGTGTATATATTATATATATGTGTGTTCGTAAATAAACAATAATCCCGATCCTTTTTAAATTATATTTTGTGTTATTCGTTTCATGAAAATGGGGTGGTTACAAATAACTTGCTAAAATTTTATTCGATTATTGCCAATTAAGTTAATTTCTAAATTTGGATACAATAAATAGCATTAGCGTACCCTTACAATTATATCGTTTGCAATTTTATATAGAGAGGACATTTGGGAGGTTTGCTAATAAAATCATGAATGATTTACTATGTCTACTTAATACCATTTCTTTATTTCTTTGGAAATTAATATTTCACATTTTACCTTAAAATATCTTAATTATAATCCCTAACTATGATATTAAGTTAATGATTAATGAATACTGTAAAGTATTCTCTCTTATTTCATAATTCTAACTCTCTCAAAATACGGACGTTAACGTAATGGAATCGTTATCCATACGTTTTTATCTTCATTCTCCATCAAATCATTTTTTCGATGTCGAGTAATATGATAATTTTCTACGCTAGTGCTGGTTCCCATCCATTCATTCCATTATTTTGAGCTTAGCCAAATCTACAATAATTCTTTATCAATATGGAATCTGATCGTTATCTGATATTTCATTTGATTAAATGGATGAATAAATGATTTGATTTTTCAAAGTTATTATATAAACGATTCAACAAAATCCTCTGAAACGTTTATATCCAGTGAAGTACATCAATTTGTACATTAACTTTTGAGCACCATCGATGATTGGTTAAATAACAATGTTCCGAAGGACAGAAAAGTATTCGCGTTTTTATATATAGACTTTTCTGTCCTACATCAAAAAAAATTGTATCCATTGAATCATGAATTACCGACCTAACTAATGAACATATAAAGGTTGGAAGAGAATTTTGAAAACTGAAAAAATATTAAAAACATCAATGGATAACCGGTAGACCTATTCAATTTCGAATTGATCTGTCAATTATAACAAAATGTTAATGTGAATGATCTATATGGTGGTATTACTATATTAACAGACTTACTCGAGTCTAATTTGGTTTGTTGGTAAACTTTTTGTTAGATCCTTCTCCCGAATTAAGTTTTTTTTAAGCTTTGGTTAAAAAAAAATCATAAAGATTACTTGGGAAGTTAAAGGTTTGTTGTACTTTGATAATTTAAATCATACCTCGACCGCTATACCATAAGTATTAGTTGTAAAAGTAGTAAAGTTTGAGGTTTAAGCGACCTAAAATATAAAACAACCATTAGCCAAACAAGTAGAATATTAACCTGATCCAATTGCAGTTTTTGATTTTCTTTGCATATTCAAAAGTTTTTGCTTCGATGATTCTATAAAAAATAATACATGATTTGTTACCATCTTCCATTAAAACGCACCTGCAAAACAGACCTCGACGAGGATCGATGAACGCCCGTAAGGTCAGGTGGAACACGCGCACCCAGCATAGTTGTTTTGTGAGTGTTGCCCCTTTTCTCGAGAACCCACCTCTACAATCCATATGATACAGCAGAAAAATTTGCGGATCTAATGAACGTCATAAGGTGAACGCTCACCGTAACCGTGGAAGTTGTTTCCCTTCTTAGGGTCTCCATGGCAATGCTGATTAATGAAAGGAAACTTGTTACAAAAAAGCGTTGAAGCTGGTTGTTTTCCAACAAAATAGAGTCTGCACTTGTAAAATCTTATTGACCAATAACCGTGGTGAAATTGCCAAGCCATATTTGATCACATGTAAGTTTTTATATCCGCAAACATACTTTATAATATTTCAAAAACTTTGTAATTTTTCTATATACATTTACCTAAAATTTAAAACCAAATAAATATTACAAGTTAAAATCAGCAATATCTAATAATAAAAAAAAAAAAAAAACAGTAATATATAACTTTACTTTTTCTTTTATAGTTTATTTTTCTATTGTATATTTTATTCAATAATTCTACATAGTTACTGGTGATATAACTGGTAACATAATGTAAAATTAATAGAAAAAATATTTATTATTCTTTTTTTTAGAATTTTAATTCTAAGTTTACTATAATTCTTATATATAATCTTTACTTATAAAATAAATGTAAAAAAAAGTTAAATATAATTATTAAAACTAACATTAATACTTTAGCACAATTTTATAAAATTTATAATTCAAGATGTAATTATTACTAAATTATAGTATAATCTTTTTTTTTTTTTTTAAAAAAAAAAAAGCAAATTCACAATAATAAAGTTTAAAATTAAAATAAAAACTTGAAAATATATTGTAATTTAAGTAAATAAAAATTTATATATTTAATAAATAAATATTATAATTATATTTTTATTTTATTAAATATTTTGAAATTTAAAATTTTTAAGTAAATAAAATCTTATTGATTTTCTTTGATATTATATTATTTATAAAATTATTTAATAATAAAAAGTAAATTTTAAAAATATTATATTAAAATCTTATTAAAAAAATTATTTTAAAAAGTAAAATTATACTAAATATTTATTAAATAACTTATAAACTAAAGGTAAAAATATTTAAAGTTAATTATCTTAAAATTTACTTAATTATTTAAAGTAATTAATTATACTATATTTATAGATAAGAGACAAAATCCCTTAATAATAGTTGAAACTTAAACGAAGCTATATTAAAATTATAATAAGAGATATGACGAAATTCTTTTGATAAGACGAAAGCTGAAACTGTCAAAATTATATTAAAAACATAGAAAAGGATATGACAAAATTATTTTAAGGAGTTTTAGTAGGCATCTATAACTATAATATTAAATTTTATTTATTATCTGCAAGTTTTTTAAAAATTACTTTTATTTTTAGTTAATCTCTAAAATATACTATTTTTATATTAAATAATTCTTAAAAATATATAATATAATATGATATTTATTTCATATAATAATGAATACTTTATAATAGAAAAAGAAATTACAAAAAAAAATTTTTTTTGAATTAATGTTAAATCTGAATTTATTTTAATAGAAAAATAATATTTAACTTATAAAATAAAAAATTGTTTTGGTAGTTTCCTTTCTTTTACTGCAAAGCGTTCAAATCATAATCTTTTTTTTATATCAAATAATTTAAATATTTTTCTTTTATCTATAAAAAGGTTTTATTTAAAAATATATTTTTTTAATTATTTTGCTTTTTTAATTGATAATATTATTCTTTTAACTGTTTTACCTACAAATTTATAGGCAATTTTATTTATTAATTACAATCATTTTTAATTATTTTTAAATATTTTAAAATATATTATTAAAAATTAATACTTTTATAATAAATTTTATAATGTTTTCTAAATAAAAATTAAAAAAAAAAATGTAATTAACTAATGATTTTTTAAAAATTCTATCACTTATTAGATCTTAATATGATAAATCAAATAAATTAAATTTTATATTTTTGTAATTATTTATTTTTAAAGATATGGTAATGCTCATATTTATTATGAAAAATTCAAATCCAGTAAATTAATACATGAAAATCCTAAAAATCAGATACAAAAGTAGAAAAAAATAAATTAAACTTTTTAAAATGTTCTTGTAAGCTAAAAAGCTTACTAGCTTTATACCAATCAGTCATTCTACTATATTCAAAAAATAATTACTAATAGGGTTCTTCTTAACATATGATAACTAGATTATTACTATGCCCTCTTTTTTCCCAAACAATAATTCCTATTTTAAATTTAATTTCAATACAAAATAAGTAATTCAAATTATTATTAAATTAAAAAGAAACTAATAAGAAAATCTGACTTTAACAAATTTCTAGTTAAGTATCTAGTTAATTCCTATTATAGTGATCTCTCAGTATAGGAGCGCATATATCATTAAGTTCCATTAGAAACACTTCAGTACTCTTAAACTTTCATGCTAAAATATCTGTTAATTCAAATTACAATCACTAGTAGGCATCACATAGAGCCCAAATTACATAGAGTGAAAAACTGAAAAATTTCACTAAGATCAGCAGGCTTTATGATATTAGAGATCTAAAAAGATTGTAATTATTTAGAAAGGTAATTAGGAAAGTCATCATATGCAATTCATTAATCAAAAGTTATTATTGATCCTGATCATCATTTTGGGATATTTCCTGATGTTCATTTTTGTAAACAAAAAGAAAAAAGAAAAAATATGGAAAAAACAGCTAAGAGAAGTAGTGAAAAAAATATTTTAACAAAAAAATAGAATCTTCATATATTACAGGTTACATTCTAAACTTTATATTTATTTTTTATCTTATATTAATAAAACATTATTACATTTGCAACATAACATTAAATATTTCCTATTATATAAAAAATTCATTGATCATATTAAGCACTCATTCTAACGATTCATTAAGAGAATTAAATGATAAGTTTTTAGCTAAATTTGTAAGCTTAGAAAGAAAGTTGTTGAGAATGAGATTGAGAAAATGAAACTGTGATAGAAGTTTAAAGTAAGAACTAATAAGCTAAAGAAAACTATATCATATTATTTAGTTAAGATTAGTAAACTTAACACTATAATTGTAGAATTAGAAAAAAATAAGATAGTTACAGTTAAACTCGAATCTGAAAATGCAAAGTTTAGAGTTAGGATTATAAAAATAAGATAAAGCTAGATGCTAAGTAATAATATTTCTAAAGTAACCAATTTTTTTAATAACAGCTTGTCTAATTTCAATTTATTTGTAAATCAGTTACCTATAGAAATAGATACTTCATTACTTAAAAAACTAATACTAGAAAAGTTACAGAATCAGATGTTAATATACTTGTTATGGACTAATATGATCAAACATTCTTAGAAGATAAGGAAATAGATACTTTTTTAAATGATATGAATAAGAAAAAGGTTAATAATAAAATTAAATGATGCAATAGGGAGAAAAAACTTCTACATAAATCAGGAAATCAAGAGATATCTTCAATTTTTCAGAATATTTCTTCTGTAAAAGATTATGATCAGAGCAATTCAAAAAATTTGAAAAATTCTATCACGAATCGTGATGATTGATAAAAAAATATTCTAGTCATTACTACATTTTAGAAAAATAATGATGATAACATTAAATTCACTAAAAGTCAGATTATAGAGTAAAAATTAATAAAGGAATTATTTAGCAATATTATTTTTACTTCATCAATCTCTTTTGAGATTACAGAACTAAAGATGGTTCCCATAATTATTTTCAAATTTCAATTGAGTTGCAACTTAATTGCGCTATAAGGAAATTTAATTGCGCCACAAGTTGCAACTCAATTGCGCCATTTTTTTTAATTGTGGTGACCATCTTTATATAGAATAATACTTTCAGTATCATATATATTATTATCTTTAGATATGATGCAATTTTAGTTTATTTATTTTAGAATGCAATATGAACTAGACATGAGATGATCATATCTTGGCTCTATTATTCAAATAGTTTTAAAAATAAAGTTGATGAGATTTGTCATAATATTAGGCCTTAGATAAAATAGCTAGATCATAAATATATAAAGAAATACTAAGGCATCTACCTAATATTACATTAAAAAACTTGCATATGAGAACTTTATAAGCTAAAAAATCTGTATATTATTTGAAAAAAGCAGATAAAATTAAGCTAATTACTTTAGTGTTTATAATATTTCAAGCCTTACTATTAATCAAATTTAAAGTGTTATCAAGAATGTGACTTTAGTAGAAAAAATATTAGAAGTACCAAATCGTAATTATGTAACTTTTATTATGAATCATAATGATCAGATTAATGCTTCTTTGATTTCAGCTGAGGTAATCATATCTCATCCATAAATTCCTATAACTAATCTAACTTATGATCAATCTTATTTTCATAATAAGATATTCGATCAATGTTCTAATCTATATAAAGAATGCAGTAGTAAAAATTTTGATTATTATAGGATTATTAATGAAACATCATACCTATTATATAAATTAGATCATAATGATAAAGAAATAAAGGATAAGTATAAAACTGGATTTTACTTTATTAAATATGAATAGCGTAAAATTAAGATAACTATATAATCTAATTATTTTGGCTAAAGGTACTTCCTAAATTTGTTCATGCTTTATTATGATATTTTGTTATAAGGCTAATTTATATTAATTATCATTTATTATAATTTAAATTAATTTGCGACATATAAAACAGCAACATGACTAAGTTCAATAAAGTATTAATATCTGAGTATCTGGATTGATATGTTAAATTAAGTTGGTTATCAAATATTTTGATAGGTAAGATTCATTCTAATTTATATAAAAGATATATTATAGCAATTATCTGAAACTGTGATAAGTATATCAGAAAAATCTCAAGCTTTTGATTTTAAGCCTATCATCTTTAAAGCCAAACTTAATCTAGAATTAATTATCAAATCTGTCTTAAAATATTTCATATACTTGAATTTTGAAATAGTTTTAAGAGGATTGATAATTATAATTTTGTATCTGCTCAGCTGTGGAACTTATCATGTTCTATTTATTAGGAATTATAGATTACATGTCGAATGGTATAAAAATGAAATAGAATATTATTTTACTTACTTCACTTCAAATAATAAATTTAAATTCATGATCATAGCATAGAAACTCTATCATATGAGACTGATTACCTGAAATACACTGTATTATATCAGAAAAATACTATATAGCTTAATTAAAACTATCAGATTAGAGATTTTTTTGCAATTAAGAAAGTAGAACTGTATAATACGAAATTTAGAACTTTTTTATCATCAGAACTAATATATAAATGAAATAGACTATTAGGTTAAAGTAATGATACAATGAATATAGTAAGTATCAGAAGGTGAATAGAATTAGACTTAATAAGACTTTATCATATATTATTATATCAAGCAAAGCTATATCTTGATCTAAGATCTGATATATACTTTTTATTTACAATCAATAAAGGTGTCATTAAGTACAATATATTTACATAATAATATTTCATATAATATAATTGTAGAATTGAGAGATTATATTTGTATTTCAATAAATGCGTAATATAATATTCAAAACAATTATTACTAAAATGATTGTTATGCAATATAAGAAAAAATTAATCATAATATCTTATAGATGTGTAATATTCTCAAACTTATCTGCAGATACTTATATAATAATAAAGACCCTTTGTTGAACTGAAGATATGATTCTTATAGTTAGTGATCAAGATTTTTTATTATGTTTTTAAGTGAATCTATCGATCTGATTTTCATGATGCTATTATAATCCTTTAAAAATTTAATCCAAATTCAATTCTTAGACCTCTAAAAATTATTTAAAAAGAAGTTAAGGTAATTATTAAATCCTTTTATCTGCCTTATACAAATTATTGGCAAATAATATTCAAACTTACTGTATTCTTATCATCAATACTAGCAATCAATCAAATAAGTCTATTCTGAAAAGTAATAAGAAGGTATATGATTTATTTTTCAGCTTGATTCTAGAAGAACATTATCATAATGCTAATAATTTTTTCTAGCTTTATAGATGTACAAAGTCAAAGCAGATATATTACTATTCTTGATCTTTTTAACATATTGATTGTTGAGAAAATCATAATTATTAACATATGTTTCATCTGTAGTGTTATTTTTTGTGACTTTACTAATTTTAATCACATGCTATAAGATCTATTACAAAATATATGATCAACGCAGAATTATACTGTGATACATTAAGCAGCAAAATGTAATGCTGTGAAAATAAATCATAGTGGTAAAAGTGAATTGATAATATTACATTGCTTATTTTTATCTCAGTTATTAATCTCCGATTTATGCTACAGTTTTAAAATTATTTAAAATTTTTTCACAGAACTTAAATATTTTATATAATTCGTATAGATAGAGTAATATTGATTAGAGTTTAGATCTGTAAATCTATGTTATCTGTGAATATATATTCACAATATAAATTTAATATTCATTATCCATATAAAAATTAAGTACAAATATGGATAATTTAAAAAAAGTTAAATAGATAATTCATATCTATGTTATTCATAAATATATACAAATAATATAGATAATATGGATATTATGGATATATGGATATTATGGATATATTGATATTATGGATATTAAGGATAATATGAATTTTCTATGGATAACTTATATAATATGTATAATATAAAATATAAATATAATATTTAATACAATATTTAACATCTTTATTTATTTTAAATGATTAAGAAATATTTAAATTTTATTAATTTCATTATAAATTTTTAGTGAAAAAAAATTACTTATAACATGATTTTTTTTTAAAAATAAAAGTTTTTCAAAAAATTTTAGTTTTAATTGTGTATGCTTTGCTGTTATTGTATTATCTGCTTGAGAAAATAATCTTTCACTAGATGTTGATATAGCAAATATTAATAAATACTTTTTAGCTAAATAAGATAAAATTGAAAATCTTTCTTGATTTTCTGCCTATCATTTATAAAAATCAGTTTTAAGAAATAATTACGATAATATAAGATATTCATTAATTTTATTTTCAGTATTTTAACTTTCTGTAAACATATCTATAAGTAAAGAATTACTTGATTCCAATAAATCTAAATCGTAATTATTTGTAATATTAGTAATAAACTCTTCTGATTCCTTAACAGATTGATATTTATCATACAAAAAAGAAATTATTCCTTTTTTAAAACTAAAAATAAAATTATGACCTTTTAAATATGGATTAAGTAATGCTGATATCAATCCTTCTTTTGCTAGATTTTTTCAATAATGATATAATAAATGATATAAATTTTTTTTAACTTCTTCTTCTTTTTCTTCACAATTTAAAGGATTTTTAATTTTAATGTTTCTTCTTTTGTTTTGTGATTCATTCATAATAACAATATCGTTGTCATCACTATCTTCAAATTTAACATCATCAAATGCATTGTTATTATTTATTAAATCTACTACTCTATTAACTTCTTTAGGAATTACTTTAATTTGAAGAGTATTCACAATATAATATATAAAAGAAACTGTTGCATATTTTTCACCACCTAACAATTTAGTTGCATCATAAAAAGGTTGAAGTATTTTAGTTAATTATTTTATAAGTTTCCATTCATCATTACTAAGCATTATTTCTTTAAGACATTTTAAATCCTTTTTTATATTTGTATCAGATTCAATACTCATAGTTGCAATTAATATATTAATTGTATTATAAAGTTTAAGAAGACGTTCTCATGCAAGATACGAAGAATTTCATCTTGTTTTTACATCTTAAATTATATGCAAATATTTGTAATTATTTAAAAAATCCTAAATAAAAAATTATATTATTATTTGTTAATATTATTAATAATTAAATTAATTAAAAAAATATTAAAATAAATATGAAAATAAAACCTCAGATTCATTTAAATGACATATTTGTATCACCTTCAAATATTCATTTTATTTTAGACTTATAAAAAAATTAATAAGTTATTTTACATATGCTATTAATATTTTAACTGATATTAATTCTCTATTTATTATAAGATTTAGTGTATAAGCTGCATAAGGGATCTGAAATATATTAAGTAAAAGTTTCAAAGCAGTAACCATATTACTACTATTATCAGTAGTAATATAAATAAATTTTTTCTCTAAATCCCATTTAGAAATTAGATCCAATATTATTTATGCAATATTTTTATTTGTATGTAAATATTCTATATATTAACATGCTAACATTATTTCTTGTAATTCAAATTCTTTATTAATAAATGAATACGTAATATCAATATAATCTTTATGATCTCTAGTAATCCATAGATCTGTTGTGATTAAACAGAATTTTATAGACTTATCAAATAAATTTAAAAGTTCTTGTTTAAAATTATTATATACTTAGTTATAAGCTTTTTGATATATTTGTCACTTGAAAGAATATAATAAGGATTAGGAGTTTTGATTAAATTAATAAAGTTTTCATTCTTTAATATATAAAGTGGTTGTATATCATCAACTAAAAATTCTGTTAATATTTCATCATACTCTTGCTTATGCTTAGGATTTTTTGTCCACTATTTGTGAAATATTGCATCAATTTTTATTTGAGTAGAATCATTATTACTTTCTTTTTTAGATCTAAGTATGCTATGATGAGATTCTAAATAAGTCCAAAAATTACCAGTTGATCCATCTGTATTAATTATATACTCACATATTTTTACATCTTTGCTTGTCCTAATTTTCACATTACAAGAGCCTTTTTTGTGTTTAAGTTTTGGTAGATTGAGTTTATTAAAATAACACCATATCTGTTTTATCCTTAACTAAAACTCTTCTTTTCTTTTTTTTACTTGTTTCTGTACTGGCTGTACTATCAATTTAAACAAAATCACTAATATTAATATTGTCTTCATCATTGTTAAGTTCCATTATATAAAACACTAAGATCAAAATGAAATTGAAAAATTAAAAATTAAAAGTTTTCGCTAAATTAGCTAAAATTTAAAAAAATCAATTATCTATATTGTATTACAAATATAATTACACAGATCAGATTAAAAAATTCAGAAAGAATGATTTAACAAAATTCTGATTTTTTCATTTTTAAATTTATAAATCTAACTTTATACATTTTTTTATTTGATTTTGTTATTAAAAAAAATAACAGAAATGAAATTAACTTTCTTATTAACTGAAACTTAGTAAAAAAAATGATAAAATTAGTAAAATAAAATATGAATTTATAAAGAGATCGAATGAAAATAAATAAAATAATAAAAATACCTTCTAAAATATATTACTAAAACTTATGTAATAAGGTTAGTTATAAGAATGAAATGGCAATAAAAATTCCATTTCTTTTGATAGATCTACAGAGAAGAAAGTTTGTTAGTAAATAAAATAGAAGATAAAATGGTAGATTGTAGAAAATAATATTGCCTCTCTAAATGCATCTTCTTTAAATACATACTCTATATATTTTCTCTCTAAATACATGCTCTCGTTCAGTTCTAAGCATATAGAATTCATATAGAAATTTTCTCTTTAAATGCATATCCTCTTTAAATGCATATTTTTAAAATTTTCACTATAGTCTTAAGGGGATGCATTTAAAGAAGGTTGACTGTATAGATATTTGTAGGATTATTTATTTCTAAAAATCTCATAGTTATCAATAATTATAAGAAATAAATAATTAGTATAGAAATTTATAAAAAGCTTGAGAGAACAAAAAAATAACTTGATGCTAGAAATCACATTAAAAAGTTTAAGATCTATATACTTCTTTTCTCTTTAATAGCATCATATATTTTTTTCACTTTCTGATTCTATTATATATCAGAAAAATCATTAATAATGTTTCGTCTACTTTAGAATATTTACATTAAAATTTTTTTATTCACCAGAGCAGTAAAGAAGATTTGAAGATTTTTCTTTATCAATAAACAAAATGTGACTTTTACAACTTAGTTAAACTGTCTCAATATCACCTATAAAAAATGGTAATCAGTTTTATTTGTCAGGTCACATATACTTATTAGAGTGACATATAATAGTAATAATTAACACTTTTCTCAACAAAAAATTTCTAAGTTCCTAAAATATTTAGTAAATTAAAGAACAGCTAAAATGTAACATGATATGACAAATTTACTAACCTCTTTAAACTAATTCTAATTCTACTTTAATCTTAATTCTAATTTAAACCTGAACTATAATACTAATCCTAATAATAAATATCCAGCAATATAATCTGACTACTATTTTTTATGGGTAATGTTATATTCATCAACTTAGTTGTACATATACAATTACAGATCTAATTTGCACATGTAATTATCATGATTATAAGCATCTTCCTTACATTTCTAATAGAATTTTACTTTTACATGATCATAATAAAAATATTTATCACCTTGCATTATATCCCTCACTTTTCATTTTTACTATGTATTCTGAGGACTTAGAACTTTTTTTTAGCAGTGAAATACTATTTGTCATACCATTATTATTTACTAGTAAATCTGATATTATCACATATACACTACCTGAAAATAAGTTTGCACAATTTTGAAAAAAATAGTAAATAAATTTGTGCAGTTTTGAAAAAATAGTTTATTATCATTTTTTTTTAACAAAGTATTAATATCTAGTTGGCCAACCATTATTGGCAATATATGCTTCTATTTTTTGAGGCATACTATCAATTAATTTTAGGTAAGTTTCTTGCAGAATTTTTTTCCATTCTTCT